ATCGAGTTATTACAAAGTGGCTTGTTATAGCGTATTACAAATTAGTGAGGGATTAAGAGGTTGATTCCTAGGTTGCATAGGTTGTAATCTAAAAGTTGCTCAGTAGTGAAGTTGAAATCCTACAAGGGTAGGTCGGAGTTTTTAATTTCGTTGAGCTGGAAATTTTTCGCGTAAAATTCCTCTTGTCATTTATACTGCAGTGTGCGTGTGTTCTGTTGAACCTGATAGAAAATCTGGTTCTCTATAGAGCTTTGGGGAACCTTAAATTCTATCATAAAATTTCCAATTGAAATTCCGAAAATGTGGCCGAGCGAAAAACAAATGAATATTAATCAAACACGAGATACATATCAAATATTTATTTTTTTAAATAACGAGATTCATGCAAAGTAAAAGAATATGAACAAAATCAAAGGGATCAAACCACGTGGAATAAATGGCAAAAGAATAGTCAAAAAAAACCACGAAATTAAAGTGCAACAGACAGGCTGGTTTACAATAATGAGCCTTATGACCCTAAAAAAAACAATAATGTGCCTTCTTTTGTCTTTTTCTACCAAATCTTCTTTGCTACAGAGATCCAAATAATACTCCTAAACAAGATTGTGGAGATGAATGGCTCTAGTCCGTGCCATGTGAGATCTAGATATGGTTAATCAAACTTCAATCATACGCAAAAGCTACTTAAATTGCATTTAATATTATACAAGTAATTCTTTATAGAAAGTATTTTCTTGAAATTTGTTACCATTTAATTGGTAAGTGAAAAATATTTTCTGAAAAAATATAGTAGTATATATCGATTAAAGTAAATCGATATTATTTTAATAACAAATTTTGAGTACTGCAGATTAATGATGATGTTTAAGAGTTAGTTGGAGGAAGTAACATGAAGTTAAAAATTAATTGTCCATAAAAATATTTCTTCAAAAATATGTTTGTTCATGAAATTTTGTAAGTTTTTTGAAATTTTTCGAAAATGAAATTTTCAAAACCCCTTTTCTAAAATTTTCAAATTTTTTTTTTCTCACTCACAAAACTACAACACTTTTTCAAATGAAATGAATATCTAAACATAATTTTAAATTTCAAATAGCATTTTTCCTTAGGGACATTTTAAAAATAATGACTTTTTCAGGAAAAGTATTTTCCTAAAAATGATCCGAACACACTTAAAAAACAACCAACTGACCAAGAACGAGGAAAGCGGGGTACTTGAGATATGGTTATGACATAAAATATTTGACAACTCACATAATCTTATTTTTCATCATTAAATAAACAAATGGGTACTTATTTTTTTACTTGTAAAAAAGTAAAATATGATCACTATTGAATCATCATTAGTTTACTATTTGACCATCTTTCTAAGCCGTGTTTACCAACAAATAAATATGTCATGTCCAGTGTGACCTTAGCTTACTATACGAATACAGACTTCTGACGTCGTGAACAAATATCATCTGAAACTATTCATATATCAATGGCTTGCAACAAAGAATTCTGTAAAGATTATATAGAGTTGAAACCAGAAGAAGCTAGTTTTTGTGATTTTTTTCGTATTTTCTGTTCATGTGAATTAGAGAAAAGGGACTTTTTTGATGCACCAGGAACAGACAGGATCAAAGGTTTTCGCCGTCGTTGGATCATTTTTGCATCTGTCGCTGTGCAGAAATTTTTACTTTGTTTCAGAAAGCCAATGAACAGTTTTGGTTCTAAAATTGAGCTCTGGTCTAACTATCCTTCTTGCAATGGTGGCCTTCTCCAGCTTTTCTTCAACATAATTCAAGGTTCGATCCATTTACAATTTTTCTTCTAAATTTTAATTTTTGGCTTGCTACAAAAAACTGTATATTCGATATTGGAAAAAGTTGTATTAAATTACTGTGAGATATTACAGGAAAAGCGGAGAAACCAGACATGAAATCGGAGAAGTTCACGTCGATAATCGGAAAAATTGATTGGAGGTTTGACTTAGACAAGAACATAAAGATGGAGGACAGCCGGTATGTTCCATCACTGTCGGTTATGGCTGCTAAATTGTCTTATGAAAATGAAGCCTTCAGTAAGAAAGTGATCACAGAAAATTGGAAGGTATTATTATTTATAGCAGAATCGGCCTTTAAACAATTTACTAAACTTTTAGAGCATTCATAATTTCGATAGACTAATGTAGAATATTTGTGTTTTATTTTCTTCTGCAGATGGATTTCATTAAATTGTACAACTTTTGGAATGGTAAGTTCAGTTCCGCCTCTTTTAACCAAATGTTACTAAGATCTTTTTATTCTTATTTTTTTTCAATTTGAACGTTATTTTTTGTTCTCTAGTCCATGACAAAATACTAGTATCAAATTTTCTATTGAGAGAAACTTACTAAAGATATTATGAAGATTTACAAGGAGCCAGATCTTGCCTTCTCAAGTACAATCTTTTTTATATATTCTCTCATAAATATTAAGCAAATTAAATTTTGACTCTTTTCGGAAGCACTAGTATTTGATTGGCCACATGTTATCCATCTATGGGCAAAGATCACTTTTAATGCGCAATCAAAATTATCTGGTAGCTGTAAAAGTGTATAAAATTTGTATATTTGTTGTATATAACATACAAAATGCTTATATACAAAAAAAATATTCGGCTATTATACAATATTATTTTCCCATCTATTATTTTTAGTCCTTTTACTATAATAGTTATCAAAAGTTAACCTTCAAATATTCTCACGACTCACTCACGAGTGAGATGGTTATTTACAAAACCTTCTGGTTTTATGCGTATTATTTGCATTTGCACCCCGACTAATTCGCATTATTGTTTGGTTACTTAACGAAATCGTTCCATTTCCTTTCTATTTACAGCTTACCAAGAAAATTACTCCACACAAGCCATTATGTTCCAAGACAAAATTGAAGATTCAAATCTAGTTGTGGTCGCATTTAGAGGGACAATCCCATATGATGCAGACGACTGGATCACAGATGTGGACCTTTCTTGGTACGAGCTTGAAGGTGTGGGTAAGCTACATGCTGGGTTCATGAAAGCATTGGGCTTACAAAAGAACACAGGCTGGCCCAAAGAAATAGATGAAAGCCCAGACCAACAACTATTTGCATATTATGAAATCAGAAAAGAACTGAAAAGGATACTGAGTAAAAATGAGAAGGCAAAATTTATATTGACAGGACATAGTTTAGGAGGGGCATTAGCAATTTTATTTGCAGCCATATTGAGTTTACATGAAGAGGAATGGTTATTGGATAAATTGGAAGGAGTGTACACATTCGGACAACCTAGAGTTGGGGATGTACAATTTGGGAACTTTATGAAGGACAAGTTCAACAAGTACGATGTCAAGTATTATAGGCATGTTTATTCCAATGATATGGTTCCTAGGTTGCCATTTGATGACACAGCCTTCTTCTTCAAGCATTTTGGATCATGTGTCTACCACAACAGCTTCTACCAGGGCTGGGTAAAGTTTAACATCTCACACTTTCTTTTTGTTTTTGTTTTCATAACGGTGGTGTCTAGGTCAACTTGCGCGTACCTCAACTATTCCACCTGGCACCTGCAATCTCCCATCAGCAAACTATTTCAAGTAACGTTGCCTCCCAAGGTTAAGGCAAATGGGAAGAAATTGCTTAGCTTATCTTGTCTTTATTGAAATTTAAACACTAGTCTCCCATGGTTTACATTATGCTTAATTGACCACTAGACCACACTAGATTTGGTTCACACCTCATTGCCGTGAATTCAATGTCTCTGCATGTTTTTCAATAGTCTGATTAATTATTTACCTTGAGTGTCAATTGCAACAGCTCTATTCTTATTGTTGTAATGCAGGTGATGGAGGAAGAACCAAACAAGAACTACTTCTCACTGCTATGGTTTTTTCCAATGGTACTAATTGCAGCATATGAGGTTATTAGGGGGTTCATACTACCTTGGAGAAAAGGCAGGGAATATAGAGAGGACTGGTTCCAGACAATGTGTAGGATGGTAGGATTGGTGATTCCAGGATTATCAGCTCATGCTACTATAGATTATGTTAATCTAACCCGATTGGGATCAGTTCTTCATCTTCCACAATCAGCTCATCAAGAAGGTGCTAAATACGATTGATTTTCAAGATTCAGAGTCATTTTAAAGTAGGAAAAAAAATATTCCAAGCCGTTGTAAATCAAGTCAAACAGCTTGAATATTTTTTATTTCATTATTATTGCTATTTATAATTTATATAACATTGGCTTGAGATGAGTTTATATAATGTAACATGGTCAGTAAGTATTCATACCCAACTTGTTTGGGATTGAGGTCTGAGGCCTAGTAGTAAAATCAAGTCAATCTGACATACTATAACTTAACTCATGGATCAAGTCCGTAAATGCTGCTCCTTAGAGGTTTCGGATTTTTAATTCAATTATCATGCAATAAGTTAATATGTACCTCTATTTATATAAGTTATTCAGCCTTGTTTTAGTGTTTTGTTAATTATTTCTGTTAAGTTGTTATCAAATATTAGGCTTACTTAATCGTAGAGACTAGGTGCCATCACGACATCCTACCGAGGGAAATTAGAGTCGTGACAAAGTTCTAAAAATAGTTTAAATATCATATATTTCCTATATAAAAGACCAAAACACATATTTTAGTTAATTGAAAGTTAATATGCTTAACCTTCCCACTGCCCACTAAAGACCATGTAAGCAGTTCGATTTCTGTTTCATGTTGCAAATGGCCACACAAGCTTTTCAAATAGTAACATTATTCCAGTCCTCCTCCACAGAACCCCATGTAGAGTTTCTTTGAGTTCTATCAAGTTCTTTGGTGATATAAGTAGGAATAACATTACTTTGCATAACGTGGTTAGGAATTGAAGTAAGGCTGGATTTGCAAGAGTGGTTCTACCATCTAGGTTAAGGACTTTACTTTTCCAACTCTTAAGCTTGTTATTTGCATTATAAAGTAACTATTTGTCATTCGGGAGCCAAATGCACAAAGCAAAATTTTTTTAAAAAAATCATGGATTATTGGTAAATTCATTACATACAGATCGAATCAAAGAAAATGTTTTTAGAATCTTACATGCCTCTGACTGTTTAAATCATAATATCATTGTTAAAGGGAACTAAAAGATTCAACCACCCTACAGCATTGGTTTCCAGAAAGCACGTCTTGACAAATTCCATTTCCAGATCACTTTCACTACCAAAATACAGAAAAGTACATCAGGAAAGAAGGATCTAATCATTTAATACAGATTTAATCTGTGCAAGGAAATCTGAAATATTATACTCCTCGATGTAAAGGTAAGAGAATACCTGATATAGAGGCTTGTTGTAACATCAAAACGCATGGCATGTAAAACAGCCACTCAAAGATCCTATTTGGCGAGTCCTACGGAAAGACAAGGCCTTGCTGGAGGATCTTGCTACTTCATGTGATTGGTTGGCTAACATTGAGCTTCTCATTTTTTGGGCTTTTCTCTGTGCCGATCTAAGTTTGTTCATAATTTTATCCATGGATGACGATCTCTTTTTCTCAAGTTTCATCTGCATTATACTTGTAAAGTTAGCATGTGTCTTCAACTGCAAACAGGAAACACTATTTGTGCAAATGCAAGTTCTATTCATTTTTCTGTCATCTATAGAATTGTGAAATATGAACAATTAAATCTTTCCCCCTTATTACATGGCTTAAGAAAACAACAAACAGATAGTAGCATTCAATAATGAGAGAACACATATCTTGATGTTAACGTAACAATCCAATTCAAAATTCCAAAGAAGTACAAGATAAGGGAACTATTCATTCCACCTAGTTTCCTTCATAGACAATTTAAGCTTATGATGTAGACAGGGGAGAGAAGAAATCACCCAGTAGTTAGGAGGTTCCTTTTTTGGAAAGATCCAGGACCTGACCTAAAGAAATCATGCATGCACGCTAGCAGAAGATAATGCCTAGAAACATGTCATATTTCTTTTCTATACGAGTAGGCCAATATAATATACAAAATTAATGAGAAATCTCTTTTCTCATCCCCTTCAGAATCTTATAAGATTACAATATCACTGAGGTCAACCATTGTACTAGCAAATGAAAGATACCTAACAAAATTATAGTATCAGTTTGGGAATCCACTGCTGATCTTTCAAGTTGTAGTTTAATCTGGAATAACAAAAGTTTAGTGAAGGAAGAACGTCGAACAATAAACTTACGTAACACTTGAAAGACCCTACATCCTATTCCCCTGTATCAACAACAAAACCTTTCTTAACTATACAAGCCTTGTTCTCTAGACCAGAGTCCAGACATCTCGACAAAGGATATTTGACTTTTGAGATAAACCGAAATCTCACAAGTAATGGTGGAAGTTGCTGAATGGTTACCACATCAACATTAGCTGTCTTTTCCAATACAGGAAACTACTAACCTAGACTGTGAAATAGGTATAATAGAAGTCATAGTTGATAAAGACGCTTTTCATTAATTGATAAAATAGCATGCTATTACATATACCTTATGTAGACATATGAGTGTTGCTTATTTATCACACACTTTATAGTAATACCCATTCTATCCATATTCAAGTTTTGCTACCTCTAGCTTCTGGACTAAAACAGAAAGTAGATATGTTTGCATTCATGCACAATACACTCAATTGAATCCATATAATTGATGATTCAAATGAGTTTATGGGCAACAGAAAGAAACTTTAGAAACTAAAAAGTTCATGAAGGAGGTATGTATGAAAGACCGACCTCTAATTTCCTCATTGCTGCCTCTGCTTTTGCCTTTTGCAAGTTCTCCCATGCAGTGATTCTCGCTTCTTCCCTGTTAATCCTGATATGTCAGAAGAGAATAGAGAAAATTAATAGCATGAATTGAAAAACAAATGCACTTTGATGCTTGGAGAAAGAAATGTTAAGGAGCATGAATGTGGTCTGTCCTTTCTCAAACAGTACAGCTTATTGAGATTTTTTTTGGAGCAAAATCAACTTGAGATCAAATATATGGCTAAGGCAATGTACAAAGTAAACCAATACTTTTGAAATACAATGCTAATGAACAAAACACAAGGAAGGCATCTAACTGTCAGCTGGATGTTTTCAGATAAATCTTTCTTCCAGATGTGCTTTTAAAGATTCATAAAATTCATGGGAAGTCCTTGGAGTTTAGACATTTCACATTTGTCAATTTGTGCTTCATCCTTGCGTAGGGGCCATGATAATCTTCTGTATATCATTCCATTTTTATCAGATTCCAGATGAGTAGATCTGGTATAATACAACCTTAAATTCTAATAATATACAGTTTAGAAGGAACTTTATAGTCTTCCCTTCCCTTGTGTTTGCATCTTTTACGAAAGATTTATCAGCTTTTCTCTTTCTATACAGTACACTCTATTTGTAATACATCCAATCACCTCAGACTTCCATCTAACTACTTTCCCCTGACAGGGATTCAAAGTAATTTACTTACAAGCTAACAAATAAAATAGCTTCACTTACTTTGAAATACTTTTCGATGTGTCTGAAACATCCCAAGCTGAAGACCGGATTTCTACAGCCTTCCTTTTCCAGTCATCACTTTCAATGCTCCTACCCGGAATTCGAGCTATCTGTTTCTTTGACCACCTGGTCACTGTAACCCGCTCATCAATGGGAACATCTCTCATTTCTGCTTTAGAAGAAGGGATACTCTGGAATTCTACAAGTGGTAGAATAGATGGAGTTGAAGGGGAGAAGGATGACTGTCTTATTGGAGATGAGGAAGGGCTTGCCTCGGGACTCATTTGAGTGGCCATATCCCTCCTTGAGATAACTCGTGACACACCATTGGCTGTATCTTGAATATCATCTCCACTCTCATCTATAGATTAGATTTAGAGACAGTTAAACGCAATAGGAAGGCACAGCCGTCATTTCTTCACATATTACACAACCCATAGTCATGAGGATTAAAAGGGCAGATAAGATGGACTTAAAAATGTGTCTATTTATCCCATGTAAGGGGAAAACTCCATATTGAAAATAGGCAAAAATAAACACCAGTGACAAATAGAGTAATTGCACGTCCAAAACGAAAAGATCATTCAAAACAACAATCACCATCCATGGCCATTGGTTATGCAATATCTTTTACAGTTCATAGTTGTGTTGTCTCCTATGGGATTCATAGGCAAAAGCCTATGGCCAGAGTGATTGTGTTACAAGTCTTTACCACATATCATAGTAGGTGCTTCCTGGTACAGATTTACATCAAGGAAGTTGAGTTGAGCTTGAAGATATATCAGATTAGTAATAAATTTAACAAATAACAGAAAATCAACTTTTGTTTCTTTCCTTCTGGTTATTTTTTCTGCCAGTGCATCCCATTGACATAAAAAGGTACACTTTCAGTAACATCCAATCTCCAGCCAAAAAGGATGGGTTCCTTTCAACTTTGACTCTTGAAAACATGGAAATAGTAATGGAAATATGGATTTCCATCTTCCATAGAAGAAATCAAGTATTACAACCAATTAATAAGTGAGTTCTATTTGTATTCTTCTTGCAAAATTTCCTCTTTCTCTTCTAGGCATTAACGTCTAAAATTATGCTACATTTCACTTGATTTAAAGAGACACAAATGATTCTGCAATGCAAATCAATGGGCAACTTCTTGATTAGATTAAGCAAGCAACCAATTAACTGGAAAGGCTAAATCAGTACCTTGGGAAATTGGCAAGGTCGATAAACTGACTAGCTCAGAGCATCCGTGTATACTAACTGACCTTGCCATGCATGGCTCTGTGAGTGCATGGAAGTTTCCACTGCCCAAGCTGCCTCCACATCGAATTGACAAACCATCAGTTGCCATCACTCCAGTTGAAAAAGGGGAATTGGCTAACAGATTCCCACCATTTCCTCCCTTAAAAACTGGTGGTGCTGGAGAATACATTGAATAGTAAGTTAGACCAGGAGGTCCAAGAGGCCCGCTTTTGGATTTAGGCCGCCTCTGAGACTGCTGCAATGAAGTTCTCACAGAACTATCTCCTGAGACCGGGCTAAAAATCCACCTCTCTGCATCTTCCCATTTGGAAGGTAGTGTCCTTCCATTATTGTAAGGCAGCAATGCAGTATTAAGCTGCTTCCGATTAGCTGCCGAATGCAATGGCACACGCTCTGAACTCCAGCCTTTCTGAACCCCAACACTGGAATGGCGATAATTAGGCGTTCTAGGACTTGGAAATGAACCGGCTCGGCTAGTTGTAACAGGGGTTCTCTTCATGACTCCAAAACGCGGAGACCAAGAGTGGCTGGTGTTAATCACAGCATTGTTTAGATCTAGTGAAGCCGGTCTTCGCCTATCTGGTTTCTTCAGTAGAAATTCCGACCTAAATCTCCGATCTTGACATTCTATTCACACAAATTTTGCAAACAAAAGCCCCACCCGGAATATAAAAAAAAAAGAAGGAAAAAGTTAAATTCGGTTACCCAGAATGTGAAGTGAATTTGCTTTGTACTTTAAAAGGCTTTAGTGGTAGTACCTTTAAGAGCTTGAGAAAAAGAGTTTCTAGCAGAATCTAAAGACAGATTTTCATCCTCTGTCTCAACCTCGCTGTTCTTCTCTAACTTTTGAACTGGAAAACAATGAATGTGACACTATTACAGAAATTTTGAAGAATCTAGTCTAGCTTAAGAGGCTTTTGTAGGAAGTCAGCTGATAGAGTGGAAAAAAGCGTCAAGATAGTACCTTTCGCTTTTTCTTTTCTGCCAAGGTGACTATTCTTGTGTACAATGGCTTTGTTTGGATCTGTAACTGTACTACCCAAAGCTTCACGGCATTCATGCCCTGCCAAATGCTGTTTCAAATCAAAAATATTTCAGAGTCTTCGAAAATAGACAATAAACTCCAAAAAGTAACACTATACCACTAATTTCGATACTAAAAAAAAATCTAAGCCAATGCTTGTTAATTTTTCCTTCCTTTTTTTTCAGTACAGAATATTTTGTTTTTTCTCCTTAAAGCATTTTCTCTCAAAATAAAATGTCAACTATTAGCATATATATAAACATAATATTTTTCATGATAAAAAAAATGTAAGATGATGTTCATGAGATCTAAATCCGATTTATTAGTTTTCTCCAGTAATAATATAGCTATAGAGCATGTTCTAAGTTTACTGAAGCTTAAATGTGTTGTCACGTTCACATTGTATCAAACAGAAGTTGCAGAAAATACACGTGAATACTGAGAATCTAAACAGTAAAAACTGTGGAAACAATGCGAGGAAAACGGAGGTGAAAGTACTTGAGAAGCATCGGAAACGGAAGAATCCTGATCGTGAGCATCGGAAGCAAAGGAGCACCGGTCAACGCTGCCGGAAGCAGAGGAGAAAAGACTGAAGTTTGAATCACCGGTGAAAATAACAGAGTCCGGACTAACATCACGAACACTTCTAATTCCTATTCCCGATCTAAACTCCTGAAACCCTAGCTCCGGCATTGTCAATTGCTTTCACAACTTCACTTCTCCGTCATTACATCAAAATCTCCGTCACCGTCGCCGTCACCGTCGGAGCAAACATGTAGTCAGCGGAGGTAAGAGAGAGAGAGAGGAGAGACTTTACACTAGTTACGTGGAACTTGAAACGTAATATAGAAAGTATAGTATTAAAGATGGTTATGTTATATTACTGCTATAGATAGATTGTAGTGGCGTGTTGCTCACGAGTTTAGCAAAGATGATGATGTATGTAAAATTGTAACAATGGAATCTTCACAGAAAGGACAAAAGCTTTTTTTTAATTGAAGAGATGATAGTGAGTTGATGATTATGTTAAGTTTGGATTCCCACAATTAAGAGTGGGATTCGCTTCTTTCTATGCCCGCTGCCTTTGTCCTGTCTTTCAGTTTTGACTACTGTATTAAAATTTGACCGGGAAATCTCACCCTAAGAAGTAAGAAAGTGATTTAACAAAAATTGAAATCCATTACATTTATAATTTCACTGTGTATAATAAATTCTCCGATTCATAATAATTGATTTTTTTATCTTTTTTATTTTGATTCAAAATAAATATACTTTTATATATACGAAAAAGAATTAACTTTATTTTTTTAAAATTTGGCCTAATTATATATTCCAACATGTTAGCAGTTTGTTTGGATAGTTGTTACCTATTGTATTGTATCGTATTGTTGCTTTTAATACAATGTTTATTTTGATTGTTACTTAAATTTTATTGTATCGTATCGTTAAATCCGTCGTTACGTAATGATGAAATGTGTCACTTTACGTATCACCTTGTCTTTTTTTCTCAATATCACCCTTCATTACCCTACCTTTTTATACACGTATCATAATTTTTCTTTATAATATTGCAAGTTTATTCATCATATTACTGGTGCGTGAACCATGAAACAACGGCAAAAAGACACAATCCATCCAAATATTATATTCATCAAACGATACAGTACAGTACAATGCAATATGATATGATACATTATGAAACAATATGTAACAATCATCCAAACAAGCTGTAAGTTAACAATATATAAATTTTAATTAAGAATAATTTAGTCAAACTATCTTTTTTGTTCTAGAAGTTATTAAGTACTATTTTCTTAAGAAGTGTGTCAATAACAAAAAAGTCACTTATTATGAACCGGAAGGAGTAGTTAAATAATTTAACGCAAATGACAAGCTTAACTCACTGTTGAGATTATGAAAACACTAAAAAGATCATCTTTGTGTTCTTTTAACTCCTAAAAACTTACTCTTTTCGCTCCACTTTAAGTAATCTTTTGGATCTTTTCATACATATGAAGTAATTTACTTTCTTCGGACACTTTTACTTGGCACGTTTTGACTTTTCACACCCTTTAAGAAATAATAAATGAAGTGCATAATTTACCGTGTTAACCATATTAATTGATGCATATTTTATTGGATTTGAGAAAATAATTTGAAAATGGTAATAAATAATGTGGGTAAAACAGGAAAAAGTTTGTTGTCATTCTCTTTATACGCATAAAGTGCTAAATAAAAGTGAACATCTATTTTTAGTATACATGCCAAGTAAAAGTGACCGGAGGGAGTACCTTTTAGCATTAATTAACAATGAAATTAACCATATTAATATTAATTTGTTCATTGAAAATATAACAAACTACTCCTAGAAAAATTACTCCAAGGACAATTTTGAAAAAAATAATAATAATTCCTTGTTGATATCTGAAAAAATCATATATTGTGAATCATAAGAAAAAACTAAAAAATCACTTAAAGTGGACCGGATAGAGTATCTCATTTGGTGTTTACATAAATCAATGAATGATTTGGAATAAATATTCGGAGGAAATGAGTAATTACTGGCTTAACTTCCCTTGAACTATTTAAAAGTTAATTCTTTCGTAGTGATAGAAATTTATCCTCTTTTATTTGGTGTTTACATAAATCAAATATTCAGTGGAAATAAGTATTTACTGGCTTAACTTCCCTTGAACTATTTAAAAGTTAATTCCTTCATAATGATAGAAATTTATCCTCTTTTGCTTTTTGTAAGATCCAAGCTTAAACTAAACAATCTTTTTCCTTTTCCATCCTTTTTAGGAGGCGGGGTTATTGACTCTCGTAACGAACTGCTACTAATTAACATGAATTAAGGAGATATCAATGCCAACAATGGCAATTATTAATTAAACAGCTTTAACATATCCCAAGAAATTAAATGTCTAGCTCAGAACTTATTTTATGAAAGAAAACAAAAAAGCATAATGTACTGAGTCAGGCTTGCAGGAACATCAATGTTGTTGTTGTAGTAGGTTGTAACATTGAATTATGGGTGAGTTCTGAACAGCTAGAGCTAGCCCAAGAATGCAAAAAACCACATCGTAATTTATGGTCCCCGGTTCAGGTTAATTTCTACTACGTACTGCTGCACCTGTGATTCTCAGCATTTTGCTTTTGTTAGGATCGAAGATCAGGTTAGAATATTAATAGATAGTCGAATTTGGAATATCGTATCAGCGGCGGCTCCCAAAAAATTAAGCCCTAAATTTACTAAAACTATATACAGTATAAATAATTATGTATAATTGTTATTAGTGATAAGTAAATTAATTTTAATCATTTGTTGTCAATTTTAAAAGTTTATACTAAAAATTGTAGATTATTAAAAGCATTTACTTCCTATTTTTTATTATTCTTTTTTGTTACCTCACGCATGGTGGATGGGCTCAACTTCTTAATTTGTCCAACTCACTTCAACTTAAAATAATTTTGTTTATAACTATGATTTTGTAGAATCTTCTTCTATTCTTTAAGTGCTTTTTAGACAATTTTTCAATCTTAAGCTAATGAAATTATCTAAAGATTAGATATGAAAAAGCATTTCTTAACCTCGAACGTCTTTTGAGTCCTCTTTTTAAATTTTCGCTTTAGGCCACATGTAGTGAGCCGCCTCTGTGTCGTATTTGTTCCGTATTCTCATATCAGTATTGTTGACATGTGATTTTTGACCCTCCCCGAAATTTTACCCATTTTAGCATGTAAATATTTAATTTAGGCCTAATATAGCTATTTCAACTAATTTTTACTTTTTTACTTTATTTTATTACAAGAAAAATAAAAATTACAAAATATAAAAAAAAATAGTTTATTTTAACGGTCAGTTTTATTTTAATAGTTATTTTACTCAAATAGGATTAATTAATAAATGGTGTAGTATTTTTGGCCTTGTGATAGAAGAAAGAGTATTAAATTTGGGACTAATTTTAATTTGGTGTTAATTGAAAATGCCCAATTTGGGATAGCCCAAAAATTGAGCCCATTCCCATTCCCAAAACCAGTCACAAACATGGTCATTATCGAGGTCGCCGGTGAGGTTGCCGTTTGACGATTCCGTTTCCGGTCAGAGGTGGCTGGTCATATTTCTGGAATAAAAGCGTTTGAGGTTTGTTCATCTCTTCAATTTGGTCCTTGGTTTGTGCTCGATTTTATAGCTGTCCTTGTGGAGCCGAGTTTTGTATCTGTCGATTCGATATTGAGAATGAATTTCGGTTGAACAGGTCCCTTTTCCACTCTTGTGTTCTTAATTTAATTACACTTGGAGCAAATCGATTATTGTTTGGACTGCGTCGTTAGCAATTTCTGAAAGTTTGTTTTAACTCTATCTATCTGCAAAGCATAGTAGGTTCCAACTTGGGATTAAGGAGAAGGGTTCTCAGCATAAAAACAAATATGACCTTGATGATTCCTTTGAAATTTTTAATTTATTAAGAGAGCAGAATGGATAGAGAATTTATATAATCGATCCTAATTAGCTTGTGATTGAGCAAGACTCGATCCGTGCTTGATAATAGTTTCTGTCTCTTAACCTCTTTTTTTTTATTAGAATGGTATCACTTGCATTTTTTATTATTTGGAGTAAATGGACAGTGGTTCAGACACGTGAGTTTCTATAAGAATTGAGGCATTCTTTAATTATTGGTTCCGTTAGTTAATTTTAACAGTATGCATAAATGTTTGGAGCAGTTTTTCTTAGGGTGAATTCTTGTTTCTTTAACTGCTTTAGATGCCTATACGTTGTTATCTATTTGGTGATTGGTTTGGCCATATGAAAATTGTTTCGAATGATTATTGAGGATGCGGAAATTGGGAAGTTTTAGCCCATCGGCGATTAAAAATTGCTCGCATGTTTACGAATTGAGGTGCGATGTGCCGAACAAAAGTGACAATTGCATGGCCCTCGTTTTAATTTTGAATTGATCCTTAGAACTCGAGGCGTGCCATTTAGCAAATTCCATGGCCCTCGCAAAGCCCAAATGCATAGTTACTTTAGGCGCGTGTTTAATAATATTATCTTCCTAAACTCGGGTGTGCATTTCATGTGACCCAAATTCAAATCCTAAAACGTTGAATAAAATGTGTTTTAGACTGCGGGTGCATTTCATGTGACGCAATCCAAAGACATGTTTTAGACGACGTTCAATTTTCTTAAAATTAATTGAAAGCGGTAAATAATTTAAAATTGCACTATAGTTTGAACATGTATAAAAAATCAGATTTTTAGCCAATTATAATAATTTAAGCGACCGTGCTAGAACCACGGGATCCGGGGGTGCCTAACACCTTCCCTCGGGTCAATAGAATTCCTTATTCAGAATTTCTGGTTCGCAGACTCCAATTGGGAAGTCGAATTTTTCTTCGATTTGGGATTTAAATTAAAACCGGTGACTTGGGACACCAAAAGCCAATCCTATCCCAAGTGGCGACTCTAAAAAAATAAATAAATAATCCCATTTCGAATAATGTCACTTTAAATGGAAAAACTCCCTTATACATTATCCTTCGGGGTAGGTGTGTAAAAAAGGAGGTGTGACAAGTATTATTATTATTATTATTATTATTATTATTATTATTATTATTATTATTATTATTATTATTATTATTCTCTTATTTCTTACACTTCGATTTTCATTATTACTTGTTGTTCTCCTTGCTTTGATTTTCTTACATACTATTTTGATATTTTGTTGTTGTTAATGTTAGTTAGTAAACACTCAATTCATTATTCAATATTTTTGGAAGTTGATTACTTGAATTCTCGCGAAACCAAAAGTTGGGGTTAGTACGTTAATTCCCTGTGGGATTCGACTCCGGACTTGTAAACCGGATTATATTTGCCAATGCTCGCCAGTATGATAATACCAAGTTCATATCTAGTGCAGCCCAGGAACGTTTCTGTAATAAGGCATCCAAGAAACCCATAACGGAGAGGGGAATTGATATGGGGTCCCTCCAAAATGACTGCCCCAAT